CGGTGGAGGAAATGTGCTGAACTGCAAACCCCTTTAGCTATCAGATTCATTTATTTCTGCAAGGCGTTTGATAGCATCTAAAGTCCCTCTTTATCGTGTACAGTTATGGACTGCCAAGTAAACTTATGTATGCAGTTAAACAGATATACTGAAACTCGAAGTGTTGTGTACGGACGGTTGAAGGAATCTAGATACAGCTGGTGGTTTGAAGACGGATCCTCCAAGGTTGTGTCCTGTCACAGATCCTCTTTCCCGTGGCTATCGACTGGGTACTTGGGAAGCAACAGGAGAAAAGGGCCGGGGGTAAAGTGGGTTCCAGAGACAAAGTTTGCCGACCTTGACTTTGCAGACGACATAGCGGAAAACGCCAGAGATCTCCAACCCCTAGTGACCAACATAGTCCGTCTGCAGACAGCAGTGGGCTCAGCTACAAGGCATCAAACTACCGCCCCATCTCCCTCACCAGCGTTCCCGCTAAAATCCTTGAACATGTCCTAGTTAGTTCCATCATGCACCACTTGGAATCAAACAACATCCTGTCTACACAGCAACATGGCTTTCGCAAACACCGTTCCTGCGAGACCCAACTCCTTGAATTCACAGAAGAGGTCTTTTCAGCAATGGAGAACGGTGTTACGACTGACGTAATCATTATGGATTTCGCGAAAGCGTTCGACCTCGTAAACCATAGTCTACTTGTGCACAAGTTGGATTAATACGGGATTCGCGGCAACACAAACAGGTGGATAGGAAGCTTCCTTAGCGACCGCCGGCAGGCTGTGGTAGTCAGCGGCACCCAGTCAAGCTACGTGAGTGTGCGATCGGGCGTCCCACAGGGCACGGTGATAGGTCCAAGTCTCTTCATCGTGTACATTAACGATCTACCGCAGAGGATCTCGTCCCCCTCCCGACTTTTCGCGGACGACACCGCTGTGTACCGGCTGATCACCTCTCCCAAAGACCCCCCAAAGCTTCAAGAGGATGTCAACAAGCTGGAGGACTGGGAGAGGGAGTGGGACATGTCCTTTCACCCAGACAAGTGTTACCAGCTACCCCTGACGAGAGCTAGAAAACCACCGATCGCAAATCCCAGCTACACCCTCCATGGTCACACACTAGCACGAGTATCCTCTACCAAGTACCTGGGTGTTACGCTTCAGACAGACCTTTCCTGGCGCATACACATCGACAATACATACTCCAAGGCAAACAGGACATTGGGCTTCTTAAGGCGAAATCTTAGAGTGTGCTCCACCAAAACCAAAGAGCTTGCATATAAAGCCTTGGTCCGCCCAATTGTGGAGTATGCCTGTTGTGTATGGGACCCCTACACCGACGCTGACACAAATAAGATTGAGAAAATCCAACGAAGGGCAGCACGCTTCGTTCTGAACAGACACCGAAACACCTCTAGTGTCTCTGACATGTTGGATGAGTTACAGTGGGCTTCTCTCCAAGGCCGCCGCCGTACCACCAGACTCGCCATGATGTACAAGATCCAGCATGACCTTGCATGTGTGAGATGCGACGCCTTGAAGCCCGTGTCTGGCAGCAGGAGAAGCCGGAGAGGCCACACTGTCAACAGCTCCAGGACATAACTTGCCGCACGAACTACAAACACTATTCCTTTCTTCCTCGCACTATCCGCGATTGGAACGCCCTGCCCACAGACACTGTCAAATCCCCGTCTTTGGCCACCTTTGTCTCGAGGGTGTCCAGTCCGGCCTAGACTCAGTCACGCTGGTGACCTTCGACCCGAGACATGTCAATTATTGCCGGTATCGGCAGTTGGACATTACCGGAAGAAGAAGAAGAAGAAGTGTTGCAGGCAGTTTAGTCAGCTGGGTCATCTGAAGAAACACATACGGGCTCACACTGGTGAGAAACCCTACATGTGTGAGGAGTGCGGCAGGCAGTTCAGTCAGCTGGGTAGTCTTAAGAGACACAAGCACATCCACAGAGGAGAAACCCAACAGGAGTGAAGACTTGGACGCTGTTTAGGGCCACAAGTTATATACTTAAGACGGCTTGACGCACAATCTGAGAACCTTTTTTGTGTAAGATGTGCCAAAGACACTGCATGGAGGCGAGAAAGCCTACAGGTTCGATGTGATGATAGCAGTATAGGAAGTGCACTAGAAGACTATCTTTAGTATGATATCAGTAATAGCAAATTGATTGGTTTAGTTAATCGCTTCTATTCCTACTTTTAAGGGGAATAATCCCTTAAGATTGTATACATACCTTTACTTAAACGTTATATATATATTTCATTTCTTAAATTACAGTTGCTTAGGCATATATAATCCCTTTGTTTTAGGAACACCCCTTCTGTTATACGTGATATATTGCAGTCTCCGTAGTCATTGTAGAATGAAAAGCCAACGATTCAACTAGAAAATTAGATGTATTTTGTTGTGTTAATTAATTGTAGTATGTTGACTCTTTATCCTTTCGTTGTTAGTTGACATATATATGTTTACGGTTTACGCTGTTAAAAATATAACATTTTTGCGAGAAGTTAACTAACATTTAGTAAAAGCTGGAACCTTTTTTTTTGCATGTAATCTTAATTCTGTTACAGCACTTACTGTGTTGTTCTCTTAGGTACTTTTCTTACATTATTGTTAGGTTAGGTTAGTCGTACTTGATTGTTTTGTTAGTTTTATCGCATCAATTTTGATGGTATCGATTAGACGATGTACATAATCAGTACCTAACATCGGGAAGTGATTGTACACTTGAGTTAGCGTTAGGTTTGTAGGGATGTTCTTATTTGGATTTCCTTATTTGACCCAGTTTGTGCCCATATTTTCTGAATCTTTCTGATTTTACTGAATTATTGTTTGACTTCTTTCAACTAAGTGCTTTTTCAGAAGATAATCAATCATTTAGAGATAAAAGGTATCAAGGTCTTGTGAAGATTACATGAAAATAAATCTTATTCAAGTTATTGGCGCGTGTACTCTATGTGAATTGTACATTTTACTGAGTCGGTTTAAAACTTTGTTGTTTTGAACTCTTCCCTTTATTCTTGCTGTCACCTGTCAATTTCTCAAAGTCATCAGGGCGAAGCAGGTAGCCAAAAGGGCAAGTGCACTGGGCCTACTTTTAGTGTAGATATGCCTAGTAAAACTCACACAAAAAAACGCACGAAAACCCAATGTACATGGAATAAAAATAAATAAAAAATTCTAGCAAACGTTAATTGGAGGTTTTAAAACTACTAGTTTTCTGTCACAGATAATTTTATTTTTATGAGCAAGCCCGAAACTGGCCCTTGCCTTAGGCCCGTGTACATTTGTTGGGTAACCATTTAATGTAGAATCATGATATTTTGAACTAAATTGACAGTCTAGAAGGTAGATTACCTTGTCAATACATATTTTTTGTGACCTAAAACACAGGCCGGTGAGTTCTAGTGGCTTTTTTTCTGTCACAAATTATTCCCAACTACCAGCCTTTGCTGCAAGGCCCGTGTACATTTGTTGGGTAATCAAGTAACAAGACTTGACCTCTGACCGGGGTCACGGCATCGCGACTTCCTGTCCCGCAGGGACGCGGCATCTTGAGCAGTTTTCCGTTTTTGGAGGAGTTTTGCAGTGATTCAACAGGCGACTCGGCCCGGACTGTGTATCAACTAACTTCCAGGTAGGAAAAGTCGGCATGTAGTTGGTATTCAGAGGTTTCACTGTATGAAAAACCACGTTTCCAAGAGTTTCCAGTCCCGCACACGCCCGTGAAATTCGCCGTGTCCTGGTCGCGTCCATGGATTTCCGGGCTCCGCGTGTACGGCCCCGGATATTTCCTTACACTCCCGGATTCGTGCTGGCCGTGCACGTGCACGGAAATTTACGCCCCGCACACTTGGCGTGTGTTGGGGAGTGGCTAACAATAAGGGGTAATTAGGTACTGCGTGTATTCATGTTTCTGGTGATAATTACTTGAACCAAAGTTGCCAGCACTTTAATCTAAGCAAATTAGATATAGAATGATCAAGGATTGTTAATACAACATTTGAACCTATGCGTCCTTGGCTTGATTTATCGTGATGTCGTCCATACGACAAAGCACATTTGAGCGTAGGGCGCCCCGTCGCTGGGGTTATATGACCTACTCGGTCAAAATGACCTAAATCTACACTCCGGTCTAAATCTGAATTTTTATTTGGAAATAATAGTTTATCCGTGAGGTTCATTACCATGATGTAATCAAACGCTTGACTAAAGGGGTTTGAACTAACATGACCTGATCAGTTTGTTATGATTTTTAGGTACATGTATGGGTAATAATATGCAAGCTTTACATTGTAGTTCGGTCGATGTGTATTGCGATGTGTCTGACATGGCGTCCGTTTATGTGAATAGCCTTTGTGTAAACAAAGGGAGAACTCACAGCGTCCCCACGCCTGGTAAAATACTGAAATCCAGCAAAACAAGTCAACCCTCATGACATTAATTGTGGATTTTGGATACATTTACAAAGAGTAAGGTTATGTTGGAGTTGAAGTGCGGTTTTATTTCACTTAGTGAGCTACAAGTTGTGTAATTCTAGAACGAATAAAGCCATGTAATCATGACGAATTAGAATTATGAAGATCATTTGTCTGCCTTGAAATAAATACATTCACACAATCAGAAACATCCTATCATCCAAGTGTTCAGACTGCACAGGCGATTTAACTTAAAACCTATAATATAAAAACAAGATGGTTGTAGTATTGAACGCGATCACGTGATTATATGACTGACGACCAATCCTACCTCGCTCTCGCCGGGACCAGCCAATAAGAGACGCGATGCTTTGTTTTGGTGGGTCGTTTAAATCTTGCTTTGTCACAACGACGGTTTGCTTTTTCAAAACACGTTTGTCTCGGCTTGCAAAGATTACTAGTATGTTCCTGAACTAAAATGGCGTCAAACATTCCGTTACTTCGTTTTCGCAACGGAAGAAATGACTCTACTACATTGAAAGGACAACACCGCAACGAACCAGCAAACCGACAGGAGGAAGGGTAAGCTAAAACAAGGATACTATTATATATACGGCACTATCGTTACATATATCTTAAACATGTTGTTTAAAAACCGTGGCTAAGTTGTGCCTACGGCAGAAATATTTATTTTGGCAAGAAGTGTACACTATTTTTTTACTGATTAATAACATGGTTTATTATTTCTACTTAGAAGTACATCGATATAGTTTGTATGTTGCTCAGAACATATGTACTTTTTTCAGGCGCGGATTTGGGATACTTTGAGACGATTTGAAGAAACTTTATCGCCAGGCTGTCGAGAGCTCAGAAAAGAAAGAAAGAAAAGCGACTGCAGTCACACAGAAGAGGGTGAGTCTATGCAAATGTATATCTTTGCATACGAAGGCCGACAAGGCTCTTGACAATTTGAATTGTTTTCATTACCGAGGGAAATGTTGTGTTTGTATTGTTCCCATGATTACAATGAAAAGAAACAAGTAGACGTTGATGCTTGATGAATGGAGCCTTTTCATCTGGACAAAATTGTTGCTGTCTGACGTTAAAAACATTCGTTAAAAATGATAAATGACTTCTCCTCGAAATGTGTCCATACAGACGTCCGCATCTTTGCCAGGCTTGTTTATAAAACGTCTAGTACATGTACACGTAACTTCAAATGAAATTCAAAAATGCCTTCGTACTTTTGACTTAGTATTTTCGTTTTTCCATGTCCTGCAGGCCAGGCTGGAGGCAAACAGGCAGACTGCACACCCAGGCTCAGATCTAAAGGCGAGGGGTGCTGTGTTAAAGCGCCCGGCAGGCTCCGACGACCCAGGCCGGCCCCGCTGCACTCCCGCCCGGGGTGCACCCCGCGCCCAGCACGCCGCTCCGGCCTGACTGCGATCACAACCGACACCAACACCACGCCATCCCGCAGACAGACATGGGGCAGTTTGTCCTTCCAGGATGAAAACATTTCCCTATGGTCCCCTGAAGCAAGGGGGGGGGGGCATACCTCCTGGCCTTCAATCTACAACTAAGCCTCATTTTGTAGAGGCGACAACGCAAACTTTACGAAACCGACAGCTTGTCTTTAACGACATTGTAAATTGAATACGTGTTCATGTAATTAATTTCTGAGCAAATGATCTTTTTTTGTAATGACGTGATATTGTTTTCTGCCAAGCCTCATTTAACTTCATGTTAGGTCTGCCATTATGTTTTTGCTACACGTACATGTATTTTGAAGAACTTTGTTTGAGGCCTTCTTTGTTTATTGAAAATTTAGTCTTTTGACTGTTTATGTAAGCGCCATTCACTTTCATGATCTAAGGGCTATTTTCCTCTTTTAACCTGATGATATGTCAGTATTAGTTACTTTTTGACATTTTTTGCTAAAATGGACTTCTATTTGGAGGTGACTGTGATGAGATGTAATGTTAGTTTACTTTTTAAAGTTAGAGAAATCTGTTAATTACTAGTAATTTCTGAGTTTACACCGGGTCCAACGATTTTAAAAGTCTAGTCCCTGGAAGGCTAGTTCGGGAAAAAGCTATTGTTTCTATGTTTCGGCTACACATTTTTGTAAAGTACCAGGTTACATTATTGTATAGTGTTAGCATAGTGCATAACGTGTATACACTATACATAGAGCGTTATTTTTGTCAGTCTGTAAATGGCGATCCTGTTTATACCAATAAAACGATGAATGAAGTATAAACATGTATTCCTTTTTTTTATGAATGAAATGTGTTCCTAAAACATCGAAATGTGTCCCGGGAGCGGGGGAAGCGATTTCTCGGGAGCCGGGCAGCGAAGCCCCGGGAGCAGGAAGGGGGGTCCCCGTAGTGGGTGCAGTGGGGTCCCGAGAACGGGAACAGCAGGGCCCCGGGAATGGGAGCAACGGGTCCCGGGAACGGGAGCAACCGGTCCCGAGAGCGGGGCGGGTTTTGGCCGGGGGGGGGTGTAGTACCGGCATGTCCGACCCGTACACGGCGAATTTCCGCTGCGGTGTGGAGAATAATTAGGTGATAATTGCCGCTAAATTATGCATATTCCAGCAACGCACGGAGCGGTGCACGGCCATTTCCTGCCGTGTACGGGGATGTACAGGGATCGTGTCCGGGCATATAACGTCCAGTACACGACCTGCACACAAAAAGTGGTTCATTTCCGGGAGTGTACAGGACATGTACGGGACTGGACACGTTTCGTGTGCAGGTCGGAAACCCCCGGGTTCTACCGGAAACCTAAAATATCCGGGAAAGTGTGCGGCAATTTCTCACACGAAAACTAGGGATTTTGTGCCGTGTTTGTAGAGTTGGCAAACAACGGTTCGTACTATTTGTGTGGCGGCGTGGGTTTGGGCCGTTCTACGTGTGATCTGGGTCGTGCTGTTTATAATTCAGTCAAGGAGCTTCAAATATCCTTGTTTCAGTGCAGCTGTGCGAAGAATTGTCGTAGTGTGGATGTGGAATTGTCAGAGAAATTTCTAGATTGTCCGTTGGAATGTTTGGCTCTCAAATTACAATGTTTATGGAAGTTAGCAGCTACTGCCTGGAATTTGATAACGTAAACAGAGAGTGAGGGTCGGTAGGGGGTTACGAGATTGTGTTGTGTGTCGCATTTAAGATTAGCAAAAATATTCTCGCAATCCAGTGGGCAATTTTACAGACTGAAAAGGATATTCACTGTTATGAAGGGATTCTTGTGTTGGTGATGAGGAAAGTGTAAATCTAAGACTAAGCTAATCTTGAGTATACTGTAAACCCCTACGCGAGTCCCGACAAATTCTCACATCTGGATTCCATTCCGCCCTGACGCCAGACGGGAGAGTGTGAAAACATCGGGACGGTTCATTAATGATGGGAGGGTGTGGTGAACTTTGAATCTCTTAGCGAAACAGAGAAAAACATTTGCTATATATCAAATTGACACGACAGTATTATTGGCAGTTGAGTATCCATACACGCCTGAAGTATGGGTGGCAAAAATATTCAAAACGAACGCCTACAAGCACGTCAAAAATAAGTCGAAGCCCACATCCATTGCAAGAAAAGTATGTAGGCCAAGGGGCAGTTACTAACTGATGCAATGTTACTCTCAAAGACCCTGCATAGTATCAGTAACATACATACAGCAAAGACAGCTCACTGTTAGCCTGTATTTTGATTTACGGTTTTAGTTTTGCTATTTGTTTAAGTAAATTGTACAGATGATCCTAGGCATTTGTTTACATGCCCTATGTACAATCTGAACTAAGGCAATATTGTACTTCTACTCAACTATATAATATATTATGAAGTACTACACAACTAATACATATTGCAGCATGCTTATACATTGTTTGATTTTTTTTTTACAGAGGTTGATCCAGCTCTCGTAGACATGGCAACAACAGGCAGCATGGAAGGTTTGGATGACGTTATGAGAGGATTAGCAGGGGGTTCTGCCAACACCGTTTCCTCCTCGCAAGGAGGATCAGCAGGGGGTTCTGCCGACACCGCTTCAACCTGGCAAGGAGGATCAGCAGGGGGTTCTGCCGACACCGTTTCCAACTGGCAAGGAGGATCAGCAGGGGGTTCTGCCGACGCCGTTTCCACCTGGCAAGGAGGATCAGCAGGGGGTTCGGCCAACACCGTTTCCACCTGGCAAGGAGGATCGAGCAGGGGGTTCTTCCAACACCATCTCCACCTGGCAAGGAGAAAGCTGTGAGGAGTCTGGAACCGGGAGGCAGGACAAAGGTGTGAAAGTGTTCAGATGTGAGGAGTGTGCCAAGCAGTTCAGGTATCTTAGTGATCTGAAGATTCACATGCGTACTCACACTGGTGAGAAACCCTACAGGTGTGAGGAGTGCGGTAGGCAGTTCAGTCGGCTGGGTGATGTGAAGAGACACATTCAGACCCACACAGGTGAGAAACCCTACAGGTGTGAGGAGTGCAGCAGGCAGTTCAGTCGGCTGGGTCATCTGAAGACTCACATGCGGACTCACACAGGGGAGAAACCCTACAGGTGTGAGGAGTGTGGCGGCCAGTTCAGTTCGCTTGGTCATCTAAAGACCCACATTCGGACTCACACTAGAGAGAAACCCTACAGGTGTGAGGAGTGTGGCAAGCAGTTCAGTCGGCTGGGTGATCTGAAGACTCACATGCGGACTCACACTGGAGAGAAACCCTACAGGTGTGAGGATTGTGGCAGGCAGTTCAGTCAGCTGTGTAATCTGAACACTCACATGCGGACTCACACAGGAGAAAAACCGTACAGTTGTGAGGAGTGCGGCAGGCAGTTCAGTAAACTGAGTGATATGAAGAAGCACATCCGAACTCACACCGGTGAGAAACCCTACAGGTGTGAGGAGTGTGGAAGGCAGTTTAGTCGGTTGGATCATCTAAAGTCTCACATGCTGACTCACACTGGGGAGAAACCCTACAGGTGTGAGGAGTGTGGAAGGCAGTTTAGTCGGTTGGATCATCTAAAGTCTCACATGCTGACTCACACTGGGGAGAAACCCTACAGGTGTGAGGAGTGCAGCGGGCAGTTTAGTCAGCTGGGTAATCTGAAGACTCACATGCGGACTCACACAGGAGAAAAACCCTACAGATGTGAAGAGTGCGGCAAGCACTTCAGTGATCTGGGTGAAGACTCACATGCGGACTCATACAGGAGAGAAACCCTACATATGTGAGGAGTGCGGCAGACAGTTTAGTCAGCTGGGTAGTCTACAGAATCACATGCGGACTCACACCGGGGAGAAACCCTACATGTGTGGGGAGTGCGGCAGGCAGTTTAGTCGGCTGGGTAATCTGAAAAAACACATTCAGATACACACAGGGGAGAAACCCTACAGATGTGAGGAGTGCGGCAGGCAGTTTAGTCGTCCAGATCATCTGAAGAGCCACTTGCGGACTCACATAGAGAAAAAAAAACCTACAGGAGTGAGGACCGTGGTGTGCTGTTTAGCGCCACAATTTGAAAATCTCTTTGGTGGAAACTCATGAGTCATGTGCATGGAAGTAAGAAAGTATATCGGTAAAGAGTTCACTATCAAGTCATCAAAAATGGTTGGTTTAGTTAATCTCCTTGTTTATTTCGACAATCCCTTTCTTTTGCAAACATCCCTCTAGTTATACATGATATATTAACACAGTGTCCTTAGTCATGATAGAATGAATATTACGAGAGATCCAACTCGAAAATTGATGATCCAAGGATTTACAGTTTATTTTGTTTAGTAATTTTTAGCATGTTGACTCTTTATCTTAGTTTACACAAATATATGTATTTGTAAAGCCGTTACAAAATATGTAGTTCTAAAAGAAGTTTACTAACATGTAGTCAATACTAAAACCTTTGTTTTTTCTTTAATTCGTTTTAAAATGTTGTACAGCACTTACGGTATTATTCTCTTAGGTCTATATTTACATTGTTGTTCGGTTGGGTAAAGCCTTACATAATAGTTTGTTGTTATTTGTATCGCATTAACCTTGATGGTATCGATTAACAATGTACATAATCAGTAACTAACATCGGGAAGTGATTGTTCACTTGAGTTAGGTTTTGATGAATATACTAGTTTCGTTGCCCTGTAAAGGTTTTCTTGACAAGGTGTGTACCCATAATTTCTGTTTACTAAATTATATCTATTGACTAGTTTCCATTCAATGTCTTGTATTTTTTAGAGGATATTAATTTTAGATTGAAGGTATCAGGGTCCTTTTATGAAGATTACATGAAAATATATCTCGAGAAAACAATTCCCGGGTCCACACGGACCGATGTGTCCCTTGACAGGTCTTCGGCATACTGAACATCGCCTACGCGGCTTCTTGAAGCCCCAATGCTGCTCCATGAGGAGAAAACGATGATTTTTTGAAGAGCGAACAAAAAAACGTGGCTGTGGGAGCCAAAATAAAAATAAAGAGGCCGTCACGTGAGGTTGGGTCACGTGGTGTAGGGCCAGAACAAATCAATTTCGTGTATCTAATCACAAAAAATGATCCTGAAGGAGACATTTTTTCTAGTAAATTCTTACTTGATACTTCCTTTATGTAGCTGAATTTATTTTCGGAAACATTGTTAAAGATACATGCTCAAAGAACATGACGTAATTGTTTTCCCTTAGTTAGACAACCGTTCACACTTGTTGGGTAATCAGGTAGCGAGACTTGACCTCCTAACCCCATCCCGGCTGGGTAGTACTTCCGGGTCACGGCATCGCGCCTTCCTGTCCCACAAGGACGCGGCATCTTGAGCAGTTTTCCGTCTTTGGAGGAGTTTTGCAGCGATTCAACAGGCGACTCGGCCCGAATGTGTATCAACTAACTTCCAGGTAGGAAAAGTCGGCATGTAGTTGGTATTCAGGGGTTTGTAGAGTTGGCAAACAACGGTTCATGATATTTGTGTGGCGGCGTGCGTTTGGGCCAGTGTGCGTGTGATCTGGGCCGTGCCGTTTATAATTACCTTCGCCAAGAAGGTTATGTTTTCAGTAGCGTTTGTCTGTGTGTGGGTGTGTTTGTGTGTGTGTGTGTGTGGTTTAGCAAGATAACTCGAGAAGCAGTGGATGGATTGGAATGAAACTTGGTAGGTGGGTAGGTCTTCATGAGACCTAGAAATGATTAGATTTTGGGCCCCCTGACGGCTTTCCTAGGTACTGCAGCAGAACTTCCGGTTTTGATATCTCGTGATCTAGACATGCTAGGGTCACGAATTTTGGATGGCAGATAGCTCTTGGGATAGGGAAGAAGTGACATGAGTTTGGGTCCCCTAGCGGCTTGTTCTGGAACTGCAGGAGCATTTGTTGAAAATTTTTCGAAGGAGGATAATTCAAGAACCGGTTGACGGATTGTCGTGATTTTTGGTATGTAGGTAGTTGAAGTGATGCTTGACATGATAAGATGACAGTTATGCAAATCAGAAGCTAATTTGCATAATTAATGAGGAAATTCTATAAATCTGCTTTGTTCGATAATAGAACTATGAAACACTTGTGACATCACTTGTGAGAACGAGAAAAAACATCTGAGGATATAGATTATGTGAATGAGGACCTAATTTGCATAATAAATGGCAAATTTTTATTATTTCATGGTTGTAAATGCTGGGAATTTCATACTTGCCACATTTGGAAGTTAAGTGAAGGTGAACATCAACAAACATAATTTATTCAAATCATGGCCTAATTTGCATAATTTATGAGGAAGTGCTATAATAGCATTTTTGTTAAGATAAGGCTGTCATTATTGGGTGGAGAATATGATCAGCTGATATAATCCATGCAAATGGGGCTCTTATTTACAAAATCAATGATTAAAATTGTATAATTTGTCAACCACAAGGGTTAACATCATTTGGCGAAGGTATGAGATCGTGGAACTCTTGTTCAGGCAATGAGATTCAAACATTTGAAGCTCCTTGTTTCGGTGCAGCTACGGAAAGCAATGGAGTAGTGTGGATGTGGAATTATCTGACAAATTTCTAGATTCTACGGCTGAATGCTTAAGCTTGGCTCTAAAATATCGAAGTTAGGAGCTGCCGCTTAAAAGTTGATAACGTAAACAGTGTGAGGACCGGTAGGGGGTTACGAGATTATGTTGTGTATCGCATTAAAAATTAGCAAAAATATTCTGGTATTACAGTGTGCAATTTGACGAACCGAAAACAGAATTCACTGTTATGAAGGTATTCTGGTGTTGGTGATGAGGAAAGCGTAAATCTTAGACTAGGCTGATACTTAGTATACTGTAAACCCAAACGCGAGCCACACCCAAATTATTTTTCTCACTATCTAGATTCCATGTAATCTCCAAGCAGATCTTTCGGTGGCAAGACAGTATCCATTGGCCAGAGGAGTGTCCATTAGCCACCGAAGTTCTTACGTTTATAAGTACTGGCGGGAAATTTCACTCACGGCTGTACTTATAAACGCCAGTACTTATAAACGTAAGAACCACTGACGGGCCGTGAGGTAGGGGTAAACTTTTGAATGGGAAGGATTTGTGCAACGCCACTTGGCAGAAAGGTGGTCCAGAATGTTTGCCGGAGCATGGGCTACTTTAAATTTGGCGGCACAGCCTTTATTGTTATTTTGCAGACGATTTTCGTGTCGACTGTGAGCTGTGCCGCCATTGGGGGCTAAGCAGAAGGACGGGGGCAAAGCAGAATTGCGCCGGGGGCGTAGAGGAACGACGGGGGCGAAGCAGATTTTTTGCGGGGGCGAAGCAGAACGGGGCGGGGGCGAAGCAGAACGGCGGGGGCGAAGAGGAAGGAGTTTCATGGGGGTGCTTAGGGTGTGATGAACTTTGAATCTCATAGCGAAACACAGGGAATTAGACTAGAAACATCTCTTGACTTCAACTTATGGCACTTTGGTATCATTGGCAGTTGCACGTCAACAATACGCCCTTAGGCCTTGCATGAAAAGTATAAAAGCCATGGGACAGTTCACTAACTGTTGCAATTTTACTCTCAAATTCAAAGACCCTGCATAGCATCAGTAACAACATACAGCAAATACAGCTCACTATTTACCCAGCTTCAGTTTTTCAATTTCTATGGATGACATCAGTACGTGCATTAATTTTCGCCTGATTTTGGACAAAAAAATTATTTCCTTCTGACAGTGGTCAACATAGTGAAAATGGGTAAAGATTACTCTCCAAGCAGAGGTTGTGGGGGAATAATCGTTACCTTTTTTATATATGGCCGTTTTTTCTTTTTCGCTACCCCCACCAACCACCGCCGGTCTCTGGCTAATGGATACTGCCCGCCCTGGTCAATTTGATACTGTCTTTTTGCCACAGAAAGGCATCTGCTTGGAGATTAGGCAAAGATGTCTGTTGCCATGCCAGATCGTGGATGGCAGGTATGCCAGATAAATATTAAGAGAGGAGACAAGACAAGGCCCCGACTTAATGTTTTGTCTTTGAGCAGTGATGTATTTTCTGCCTTTTACATGTATATTTGATGATGGCTGTGTATATATGTGATGTTCCCACTGAATCAAAACCATTTGTAAAAGTATTAAAAACTTTTTTCAAAGTTGTTTCAGTGAGAAATGGATGATGTAATAGTTGGCAGTAAAATTAGCACAATATAGGTATCACCACAAGGTTTATGATGTCAAAATTTGAAAATGTAGGAATTCTTGTTATTTTGACCCGCCTTGTTTTTTATTCCAACGCTCGCATTAGATTTGGAGTCTGTGGAGGATGTCATCCATAAGATTTACTTGCTGTGGCCTTAATAACTTTTACTGAAAATGAGCATTTGTTTATACGCCCATGATTACTATACAGTAGTACATTGCTATAGTATACTACTACTCAACTGTACATTTTTCAGAATGTTGAGATGTTTTCACTTGTTTAATTTTTTACAGAGGTTGATCCAGCTCTCGTTGACATGGCAACAACAGACAGCATAGAAGATTTAGATGACGTCATGAGAGGATCAGCAGAGGAATCTGCCAACACCGTTTCCACCTGGCAAAGAGGGTCAAAAAGGGTTTCTGCCAACACCGTTTCCACCTGGCAAAGAGGATCAGCAGGGGGTTCTGTCAACACTGTTTCCACCAGGCAACAAGGATCAGCAGGGGGTTCTGCTAACTATGTTTTAATCTGGCAAGGAGAAAGCTGTGAGCAGTCTGGAGAGGAAACTGGTAGGCAGGACAAAGGTGTGAAGGTGTGAAGGTGTGAGGAGTGTGGCAAGCAGTTTAATTGTCTTAGCATTCTTAGGACACACATGCTAACTCACACAGGAGAGAAACCCTACAAGTGTGAGGAGTGCGGCAGGCAGTTCAGTCAGCAAGGTAGTCTGAAGAGACACATGCGGACTCACACTGGGGAGAAACCCTACATGTGTGAGGAGTGTGGCAAGCAGTTCAGTCAGCTGGGTAGTATGAAGATACGCATGCGAACTCACACTGGTGAGAAACCCTACAGGTGTGAGGAATGCAGCAGACAATTTATTGAGCTCGGAAATCTAAAGAAACACATGCAGACCCACACAGGGGACAAACCCTACAGGTGTGGGGAATGCGGCTGGCCATTTAGTCGGCTGGGTAATCTGAAGACACACATCCGGGCTCACACTGGTGAGAAACCCTACAGGTGTGGGGAATGCAGTAGGCAGTTCAGTCGGCTGGATGATCTGAAGACTCACATGCGGACTCACACTGGTGAGAAACCGTACACATGTGGGGAGTGCAGAAGGCAGTTCAGTCGGCTAGGTCATCTAAAGATTCACATGCGGACTCACACTGGGGAGAAACCCTACTTGTGTGAGGAGTGTGGCAGGCAGTTCAGTCAGCTGGGTAGTCTGAAGACTCACATGCGAACTCATACTGGAGAGAAATCCTACAGATGTGAGGAGAGCGACAGGCAGTTCAGTCGGCTGAATGATCGGAAGACTCACATGCGGACTCGCACAGGAGAAACCCATAAGAACTGAAAACTGGCTTGCTGTTTAGCACCACAAGTTATGAGACAATTTGATGCACAATCTGAGAACCTTTTTGTACAAGATGTACAAAGACACTACATGGAGGCGAGAAAGCCTACAGGTTGGATGTGATGATAGCAGTGTAGGAAGTTCACAGGAAGACTATGATAATAGCAAAACTGTTTGTTTATTAGTCCCTGTTATTCCTGTTGCTTTTTACTTTGAAAGATAATCCCCTTTTACTTATTATTTAAAGCCAATACAAAATATAACTTATATTTTTGTCTTAAGTGTACTCGGTGTAACATGCAGCAAATGTAATTAGTGTTAATATGTTGTATTTTGTTGTTTTTAGCATGTTGACTCTTTATCTTTTCCTTGTTACTAACAAGGAAAAGATAAAGAGTCAACATGCTAAAAACAACAAAATACAACATATTAACACTAATTACATTTGCTGCATGTTACACCGAGTACACTTAAGACAAAAATATAAGTTATATTTTGTATTGGCTTTAAAAGCTAACATTGTTAGCTTTTAAAGCCAATACAGCACCTAGGTTAGCATTAGGTTTCTATGGATGTACATAAAAGAACATAGTGTAACAACAAACGCAAACAGCAATAAATCTCTCCCTGTTCTGATTCTTTCCTTTCATCACATCTTCTCATTACATTTTGCGTCAATGTCGTGACACTCTGATCATAATACAGAAGCAAAATTTTTGGTAACATTTTTTCCAGTAACAGTCCAAAATAAAATAGCTTAGGGGGGCCTAAGTGACAGTGCATCTGTAAATCTGTGTCAAACCCTTTCGAGGTATAAAAAGAAGTAGTACTGAGATTCTTTTGTACTCTAGACCAAATTGATTTCTAGTATTAAAAAATGTTCGTTTATCTAGAACAATGTCCCTCTGACGAAGACATGAGATCTCCGACCTGTAGTTTAATTTGAAAAACTCCAAGTCCATTGTGACGCAATATGGCGGACAATTGTGACGCAATAGGGCAGAGATACGCAGACACGCAAATTTAATTATTCAGTAGGGAGAACGTCACGTGTGCAGCAGGCCCCAGCTGTATCTCTAGCGCAGTTTCGCCAGTGTGGGGAGGGCTACAGCCGTACCGGCGTTTTCTCGACGATTTTAGGTGCAAAAACGTCAACTTTTAAACTATATTCACTGTATTTGGGTGGCTCTTATTTCTGCGGACCAGGAAAGGCACCGTAGTGGTAACAATTGTTCATGGCTTACCGGTTAACGTTAACAAAAGAACATAGAAAGCTATACATGTATTGTTGTGATATATCATACTCAATGCTATACCGAAATGTATTGTCATTCTGCCAACCCCTCACCCCCTCCAAAAGCCGACGTATTGGTACCGACCGTGGTATGTACATTAGCCTCCTGTGCAGACTTATCTAGCGGTATGCGTGTGTTTCTATCTGCGTGGTGGTTTCTTGTCAATGGTAGAGCTGTCTGGGGGTACAGAAATGTACCTGTATCGACCGCTAAGCTTAGCTATCCCTCCGATACATACATACAGTCCTCCGAGCGCTCATTGAAACAGATGCAGGCCTCTAGAAAAGTCCGTACAGAAGGCTAGGTGTACATGTACTGCAAACTCATAGTGCCTCAGTAATATTAATAACCTCGATTACTTAATGGTAATCGTTCCTAGGGTGCCACGCCCCCATGGATGGGTAGGGGGCGCTGCACTGACGTCAGGGCATGTGACGTCAGGTGAGAACAAAAATCTCCAGGTCGAAAATCAGGGACTGGTTTTGTGGCTATCTAAGAGTAAAAAACGAGCTATGACGCAACCGCATTGTACTTTCTAACATTCCGCTTCGTGCCGAGCATATTGAGAATCGTGGTCGAACTGCTAACAAAAATACGTACTGATTTAGCCTCCAACAGGCCTTCCCATTAACCCTTGTTCTGCTGGCATATTTTACAGTGTCAATTTGTGTCAATATTTTCAACTCACGAAATCCAGACTTTCTTTGCCCTGTAGTGGCGTCTACAGTTACTTCCGCATTCGTTGCGTTTTGCTGCGATGTGATGCGTTCGAGAAATACCCCTAAATCGCACATATATTGATATACGGGACGCTATATAGATGGGCTCCGCAGGACAAGGGTTTTGAAGGCCTTTAAAGGGCTCACTGATACGGTAGAAGTCGGGAAAAGTAGCCTAAGGATTAATAATTTGCCAGGAGCCCCGGAGAGGGATCTGGGGTAAGGGTAACATTGCGTCTCGGGTAAATGGACTTTATTGTGGCCAAACTCACCGGGCAAGTTAATCATTCTCCGACTGCCAACGTTGCTATTGTTATTTGTGGTCCGGGGTAGCCTGGTATCCAGTCTTACGTGGTAGGGGCGGGTTTTCCTCAACCCAACAGCCGCAATCACGTAAGACTGGATACAAGGCTAGGCCCAGGGCCTACTGTTAGTGTACTGGAGACTGCTTGCTACTCTCCAAGCAGAGGTTGGTTGGGGGCGACAAAAAAAAAACGAGGCATATATAAAACGGTGACGATCTTCCCCCACCAACCTCTGCTTGGAGAGTAACTGCTTGCATGGTACGTTGTGTTATGTATGCCCCAGGGCTCCAGTGTAAAGCAGTTGTTACACCACAGAAGTAGGCTACCCTGGGTATAATACCGCGGAAATAAATGATTGAATACACCTTACTTTATTCAAACCATCTTCCTGTCCTTGTGTAATGGTTCTTATTGCCTTCACAGCCCCCATAGCCTGGTTACCAAACCATATTATAAGGCTTCCCAGTCCTACAGCCCCTCCGCTATTTTTTGGATAGGATGTAGGACTCCGGTCCGAGCTATAATAGGTTTGGTAACCAGGCTACAGCCCCCACGTTCTTAGCTGCTACCTACCGAAAGACTCAAAACCTTGCAATGGTTGACTGGGACGTCACTATAGGAAGAACTGAATATACAAAAAAAATCACCAATGTCAAAATCTTTTCGTTACCAACGTCGCAACCAATTCTAAAATTTCGGTGAGGAAAGTTTAGAGACATTAACAAAGTATATGAAAATAAATCATTGGCATTGTCGTAATGATTCTATTTGCGTAACACCATAGGGAATTTTCATCGAATCCAGAACGCCGAATGCCCCATCCAGACCCTCTAGTAAAACTTACTTCCGGGTTAGTTTCATCGAAAATATAAACCCCCTTACAGGCCCCTCTTAAAGCGTTTTTCTTGGTTTCGCCGAACACGGAATGCCTTCCGGTTAGTCCCGTTCCCAGGGTACTGCAAGGAAGTAATGACGTCATAGACGCTCCCGTTGCTCTCTTCCCAGCGACCTGCGTACCAGCGTTTCGATGGGCGGGTGGTATACAGTAAGCCGGGTCACGCTAATCGTGCGAAAGACGTGGGTCTATGTAGTCGTAGTGCTTATGCATTTATACCCCAGATTTTGTGCAATCTTAATTTTATAAAATTCTAAAACTCATAAATTATTATGAGAGAACCGACGAAATGGATTAAAAGTCTTATGATCCTCGGGTTTGGGTAAAGCCACGTGTACTTGGTTACATGTATAGATTATGATCTCTAAGCCGATCTTATGGTGCAATTTTGTATTGTATTTTCTATCAGAAATAAGTCCTACGGTGATCCATACCATTAGTATTTGACACCCAAATCTATCAACATTAGGCGCAAGATGATCAAAATAAAATTGATATTGTAATCAAAACAAAGACCTTTTCAAGAAAATGCACAATATAAAAAATCTATCCCTGACGTTGAACGAAGTGGACCAGGGTTTCGTTCTATGGTTTCAGGTAATACTATTCACCGCTTCTACGATGATCATGATGATCAACACTAAAATCTGTGTTTAAGACTTTGTGGTGCCCGGCAATGCTGCCATGTAAAGGGTATTGATCGGCAATAAGCACTTTGCTCCTTTTGGCACGTCAATTGACCGACAGGGCGTTCACCCCTAGTAACACCGCCGCTTACTCATGCAAAGGTCGACTTTTATATTGACTTTTATTAGTTATTGGTTATACTTCCTTTAATTTGAGTCGCTGTACCGTGTTCGTTATCAGGTTCACTAGATGTACTATTATTTACTCTTTGCTACTTACCTCCTTTGTTTTGTTCTAATTAGTCATACATACGATACATATAGACCAACCCTCTGTACTCATGTCTTGTTAATAGGCCTGCAGGACGTTCACCTTAAATGACACCTCCGTCTCTATAAACAGTTGCCGGGTCTGGTTCGTGCTGGTTATGAGTTTTTAATGGAAGAATATTTGAGATTTTACGGCACGTACCTACCACTATTGCTAAGTGTGTGCAATTAAAGCATGCAGTATCGTGGTATGTTCTTTACCCGCTATACACTTAAGGGCAAAGGACCAAGGCCAATGGCAATGGCCAGTTGTATTTTGGAGACCATCTCTGTATTATTGACGTATCTGTATCTGCATAGCCGCCGGTATAACTTCAGCGTAACACACTAGCTTAAAGGACATATCGTATAGTATGCTTTTATAAGAACATTAAATCATTTGCTTCGACCAAGGGGTTACCTAGTG